GTGCAGCCAGAATTAGTCCCTCGGTCTCTTTCTTCATTTTTCCTGCTCTTAGCCATTGCCAGGTTTTATTATTATCTGCTTTCCCAGCTATTTTTTTCATGTATTGGCCATGTAGTGCTTTGTCTTCCCATGCCTCTATTCGTCTTCATTTGGTCTTTCTTGTAGGCCACTTTGGTCTCTCCAGTAGTTAGTAAACCTTCCTGATATACTAATTTAAGTGCATCTTCATCATTGTTCTTCAGATATTCTTCCAAAGCCATTTTTTCTTCTTCAACCATCTGATGTACTTGTAGCATTCCATGCCCACCTATTTGCATTGGTAGATAAAGTCTATCAATGTCACTGCGTGGATGAAGGGCATGATTCATTGTCATTATTTTTCTGGTCTGCCTATCCATTGCTTTTAGTTCTGCTTGAGTCCAGTCCACTATTCCAGCTGTGTACCTAATGACTGGGATTGCCCAGGTGTTGATTGCCTTTATGGTATTTCCTCCATTGAGTTTGGACTTTAAGATCTTCTTCACTCTCTTGATGTATTCACCTCTAATCTTTTTCTTGAATTCAGTGTGCTTGATGTTGTCAGCTTGAAGAATACCCAAGTATTTGTAGTACTCTTCCTCATCCAGACTCTTAATGTTATTTTTGTGGGGCATCTTGATTTCTTCAGTTTTCACTATTTTTCCTTGTTTGATAGTAAGTATGGCACATTTGTCCAAGCAAACTCCACAACAATATCGTGGCTATATATACGGACAGTGTTGAGCAGCGATTCTATTTCAGATGATGTTTTTCCATACAGCTTCAGATCATCCATGTAAAGGAGCTGGGATAGTCTGGTAGATGTTTTTGATGTTTGATAGCCATGTCCTGAGTTATTCAGTATTGTTGACAGAGGAAACAGTGCAATAACAAATAGTAATGGTGACAATGAATTTCCTTGAAATATTCCTCTCTTGATATTAACCTCTCCCAGTCTCTCACCATTGATCTGCAACTGTGTCTTCCACTGTGCCATCGATCTTTGCACAAATTTTCTGATGTTTCTACTGACTCCTGTTATTTCTAGGCACTTGATTATCCAGTCATGTGGCAGAGAGTCAAATGCCTTTTTGTAATCAATCCATGCCACATTCAGTTTGGTCTTCCTTTTCTTGCAGTTTTCCAAGATCATTTTGTCTATTAGGAGTTGATCTTTTGTTCCTCTGCTATTGGGGCGGTTTCCTTTCTACTCAGGTGGAAAGAGATTGTTTTCAACTAGATGCTGTTGTACTACATCAGCTACCACACCAATTAGTAATTTGAAAGTTGTTGGTCAGCAGGTAATTATTATTATTATTATTATTATTATTATTATTATTATTATTACTATTATTCAATTTTGTCTTCAGCTGTTCTTTGTCTCTGTCTTCTTTAATAATCAACAGAGAAATAAATCCTAAAGCAAGTGAGAGATCAAACAGATTCTTGATATGCCTAGCTGACATTTTTTTTTAAATAAATTATATTGTTTTTTAAGTTCTTAAAGCAACATATTTAGGACACACCATGGTATTGGGTAATCAAACATCTTAAAACAAGACATATATACATAATATAATCAATATGTCAAATATTCCCTCTCTTTTTCCCTCAAATAGCATAGTATATTTAGAATATCCAATTCTAGCTTATATTCAACCTGAACCTGTTTTTAAGCTTCATCAATTTCTACCATAATCAAATTAACTTTAAATAAAAACATTTTCAATTCAAATATCCCTTCCACATATGTTCTACTTTCTTAATTTTATCAAAATTTGTGTCTTCTTCCGTAACTCTCTTTTATTTAGAGTAAAATATTAATCTATCCTGTACCTATCAAATCTATCAATTGATCTATCTCTTCAAGCTATAAAAATATCATACCTTAAATCATGTCATTCTATTAAACAAAATTCAAATCTCCAATTAATTATCATGACTAGTAACATCCATATCATCAGAAAATCATATCATCTTATTAAATTTCAATTAACTATTAGTTCACTTCAAATCTGAAACATCTCCTCAATTTTCGTCATTCCATTACATCATAATTTTCATAGAAATAAACCTAACATTCTAAAAGGAATATTCCTAACATTCTAAATTGTCTTTAATCCCTTATACAGTATAGAAAGATATCTCATTTTTAAACAAAAATATTAATCTATCCTAGACACATCTAAATGTATGTATTTATCAAACTATTCTATAGATATCTAATCCTTCACTTAATCAATCTCTTTGAATTAACAAATTAATAACAAACCTTAAATCATTTCAATCCTTTAAGTAAAGTTTAAATTTCACGTTACAGCACAAACAAGTCATCTTATTTAATTAACATTCAATTAATTATTGATTCACTCCAACTCTAAGACATCTTTTTACTTCAAACTCAAAATCTCAGTCCTTACATCAGTCCATAGTTCTAGGTTGCCTTTAATCCAATTTAAGAAATTTTAAATTTCATTTTTCAATCTTATTCTAGCTTTCCTCTTTTGCCAAGTAGGTTTCCATAACAGGGCTTCCCTTCCAAATAATAGGTCTCTTTTTGTTGCTTGTAGTGTCACTTGATTCGATACCGACCATCTTGATCTCTGATTTAATCCTCTATTTCTCTTGTCCATAAAGCCCCGTTGCTTCAGAAGTCCAAAGTTCAGTCTTTGCTTTTCCTGGTCTTGCTTGTAAGGCAAAATAAGATTTTCCTTATCCTCAGTTAAAACCTCTTCTTGTATAATCTGTTTTGTAGAGTAGTCAAGTGTAGTCTGGGAGTCAGTCTTAAAGTAGAGATTCTGGCTCTTAGTTCTGTAGTAGCCTCTTTTATTGTAGTACATATTTCTTCTTTAGCCTCCTAGATCTTTTCCAGTATAAGTTTACAGTTTACGTGTGATTGGGGCTTCTCCATTTTAGCAATGAAGAAGAGTCCTTTTCCTTTTTAGTGAAGGTTACAGTTGAACATTATCCACCCCCACAGATCACACATCTAGCTGACAATTTTGTCATCCCTAAAGTGGGGGAGAGAACTAAAGGTCAGCTATACTTAAATCTTACTAATAGAGAAGAAATGGCTAAGGAAGTGAAAGTTGTAGGAACTTTGTGGAAGAGTGACCATATCATACTAGAACTCATCATAGTAACAACAACAACAACAACAATAATAATAATAATAATAATAATAATAATAAAAGTTGGAAGGGACCTTGGAGGTCATCTAGTCCAACCCTCTGCTCAGGCAGGAAACCCTATACCATTTCAGACAAATGGCTGTCCAGTCTCTTCTTAAAAACTTCCAGTGTTGGAGCATTCACCGCTTCTGGGGGCAGGTAGTTCCACTGATTAATTGTTCTAACTGTCAGGAAATTTCTCCTTAGTTCTAGGTTAGTTCTCTAGTTTATTAGTTTTCATCCATTGCTTCTTGTCTTGCCTTCATGGGCTTTGAGGAATAGCTTGATTCCTTCTTCTTTGTGGCAACTCCTGAGATACTGGAACACTGCTATCATGTCATCCCTTGCCCTTCTCATCACTAAACTAGATATACCCAATTCCAGCAACTGTTCCTTATATGTTTTAGCCTCCAGTCCCCCAAAAAAGAGTCTCAACATCTTTTTTACATCATGGTGACCAAAACTGGATGCTGTATTCCAAGTGTGGCCTTACCAAGGCATTATAAAGTGGTATTAACACTTCACGTGATCTTGATTCTGTCTCTCTATTAACGCAGCCTAGCACTCTGTTGGCTTTTTTGGCAGCTGAAACACACTGCTGGCTAATATTTAAGTGATTGTCCACTAGGACTGCGAGATCCCTGTCACAATTACTATTACTGAGCAAGGTACCACCTACACTATACCTGTGCATTTGGTTTTTCTTGCCTAAATGTAGAACCTTACTTTTTTCACCACTGAATTTCATTTTGTTAGATAGTGCCCAAATGTTCAAGTCTGTCAAGATCCTTCTGTATCTTAAGCCTATCTTCTGCAGTGTTGGCTATTCCTGCCAGCTTGATGTCGTCTGCAAATTTCATGAGTTCCCCATCTATCCCCTCCTCCAAATCACTGATGAAGATGTTGAAGAGCACTGAGCCCAGAACAGTCTCCTGGGGCACCCAACTACACACTTCCCTCCATGTAGATGCAATTCCATTGAGGACCATATGCTGAGTATGGCTGGTCAGCCAGCTACGAATCCATGTGGTGGTGATGCAGTCTAACCCACATTTTTCTATCTTATCAAGTAGTAGGTTGTGGTCTACTTTATCAAATGCCTTACTGAAGTCCAAGTAAATTATATCCACAGCATTTGTCTGATCCACTAATTTTGTCACCTGATCAAAGAATGCAATAAGATTTGCCTGACATGATCTGTTTTTGACAAACCCATGTTGGCTTTTGGTAATGACTTTGCTTGTCTCTAGGTGTTCGCTGATTCGTTGCTTGATTATCTTTTCCAGAATCTTCCCAGGTATTGAGGTCAGGCTAATAGGTCTGTAGTTTTCTGGATCCATTTTGTTTTTGAAGATGGGAACTACATCAGCTTTTTTCCAGTCCTCTGGTAGTTCCCCAGGTGCTCCAGGATCTTTGAAAAATATAGTTCAGTGGTTCTGTGATCACATCTGCCAGTTCCTTCAGAACCTTGGGGTGTAGTCCATCTGGTCTGGTGATTTGAACTCGTCTAGGGTGGACAGGTGCTAACTTACCATTTTCTCGCCTGTATTAACTTGTGTTTCTGTTTTATGTTTTTGATAGTTTGGACTGTTTTTTCCTTTGTGTAAAGACGGATGCAATGTATAGTATATATTAATTTCTAATAATTGGCTTTTGTTTATTACATAATTTTAGTTTCCTTTCCATTGATGTACCATTGATACATTTATCCATTGCAGTCATTGCCACTAGGAAAAAGACTTCAAATTTTTATCCCACATTGGCACATTCATACAGACAAATGAACAGAAAGAATAAGGGAGAATCACTTACATATAATGTGTAGGAAACACCCCTTCAAAATACCAGCATTGCTTTTTGGCTTCTGAATCCTGAAAAGAAAGAAAAAATATAGCATTGTTCATCAGATGCCAGCATGAATCATTATAAACATAAAATATATTACAATTTCAATTATATTCTAGGCAGATTTTTCCAATGTGACACCATCTAAATGTGAGCGAAGTATAATTTCCAGAAATTCTTACATTTTGCATGTGGAGTAGAATAAAAATAATTTTAAATAAATCCTAGGATAATAAAAATTACTAGTTTGAAAAAGAATTAAGTGTTCCCTCTGAACCACTGATTTTCTTCGACAATTTTCTTCAGGGCTCTTGCCATTAAAAAGGAAAGAAAGAATTGGCAAGAATCTTTTGTCACTACATCTGCTTTGCCCCCAGGAATCCTAGACAAATTATAACCTTTTCTCTTATCACAAACTGTAAGCATCTGCAAACATTTGCAATGAAATTCTCCACCTTTATTTGAAGGAAAGCTTCCTACTGTGCCAAGTTAGGTTTACCTGCTAGTACGTTGTTTCTGATCAAAACATTAATCTTGAAGTAAATCTGACTGAACCAACTACAGAATTTCTGAAAGTCAAATTTCATCAGACCTCCATCACCTACATAGTTGGCCAACTTAGTTGCAGGCATTAGGGAAAGAATTAGTCCAGTAGAAAGGAGTATGACTCTTCTCTTACTTGAGTACCTTTTTTATTTTTTTGGACATCATTTCTTCCAGTTTTACATAAAAAACTTTTCCAGGAATACTAGACAAGAACTCCCAGCCAGCAAGACCTTTGTAAATTGTTATCTACCGTAAATGCCAGCGTATAAGACGACTTCCGCGAGCGCTGAAATCGGCGCCAAAGACGGGGATTGTCTTATACGCCGAGTCGTCTTATACCCCGGAAATACTGGTAGTTTCCGGCGTATAAGACGACATTCTAGGAATGCGGCCCGGCTATAAAGATGGGGGTCGTCTTATACGCCGGGTCGCCTAATACGGCGGCATATACGGTAACATATCTGAAGGGCCTTAGATTGAGGAAGGGCTAGATTTAAAACAGATGGAATGCTTCCCTTATTCACTGCTGCTTTGAACAGATTCAGAACTTTTTCTATCCTGAATTACTCTACCCAGTATTTCTATGGCAACATCTTCAACTGTATGGTACTGGGATGTCATGTTCTTGTTCAAAATAAGACTTTTTTTTAGTTTGCTCGTTCTGTTGATGTTTGTCTCCTTTCCACACTATGTAAATAGAAACATGCTACATGTTGCACTGTAAAATGGAAGCTATCATTGCAAGTTTGAACAGATTTAATTCTCAACTGGATATCACACTGAACAGTTATTCTAGAACAGGGCTTTTCAACCTTTCCACAGACTGTACCACCTTTAGGACATGACAATATTCAAGTACGACCAGTGGCCTAGCAAGATGTCAAAAACTTAATGACCCCCCAAAAAAATCCACAGGAAAAAAGTGTACCCACTTACCACACTTTTTTATTTTTTTATTTTTTAAAACAAAACATAACACACATATACACACAGTGTATACTCCTCCTTTTTTTTTAAACAGCAATTTTGTAACGGTAATCTTCTATTATTTACATTTTCCCCTCTTATTCTTCTTTAGATATATTTGTTCTTGTTGTCCTGTTGTTTCTTGTTTACATTTTTCTTCTTTCATATTATATCTCATACTAAAAATAATACATATTATTATTATACATTATTATACACACATTTTCCACTTTTGACCTTTCCACATTTATTCTCCTTTATTATTTCTAGTCTCCAACCAATCATACCACTTATTCCATATTAGATAGTACTCTGTATCTTCCTTTTCTTTTATCTCTTTCGTTAATTTGTCCATCTCAGCACAGTCCAGAATTTTTCTTATCACTTCTTCTTCTAATGGTATATTATCATTTTTCCAGAACTGTGCGTATACTATTCTTACTGCCGTTATTATACAGTATGTAGAATTAAGAACCGTATTTCTTTACTATATTTTCTGTTTAAAATACCCAGCAGCAAGATCTCTGGTTTCCAGTCTACAGGTTGGTCTATTATTTCTTTCATCCATCTTCTTATTTTTTCGCAATTGGGCATGTCCACCATAAATGATAATATGTTCCATGTACTTTTTTACATTTCCAACATGTTGGTGAATTGTTCTGGAACATCTCAGCAAGCTTTGCTGGTGGAAGATGCCATCTGTAAAACATCTTCAATTGGTTTTCCTTGAATGCCGCTGACATAGTCAATTTTATGTTTATTTCCCATATTTTTTCCCATTTCTCCAATTCTATATTATATCCGAAATTTTTTGCCCATCTAATCATTGTGTCTCTGACAATCTCGTCTTCTATTTTATATCTCAATAGGTATTTGTATAAACTGCTAATTAATTTTATTTCTGTTCCATGTATAATTTTATCCAATTTTTGCGGCTCTTTTTGTATTTCATATAATTTTTTGTCCTCTGTATATTTAGACTGAATTTGTATAAATGTCCAGCAGTCAATCTCTCTGCCTATATCTTGTTCCAATTCTTGTTTTGTTTTCAGATTTCCCTGTTCATTTACTAATTCCTTGTATCTAATTATCTTATTTATATCCAGTAAGTTTGGGTGTTTCAGAGCTTCTGTTGGGGATAACCACATTGGAATTGTTATATAATGTTTTTGTTTTATTTTTTCCCCAAGTCTGTAGCAATGCATTCCTAACTATGTGTCTTTGAAAGTATCTGTGTATTTTATAGTTTTCGTCCCATAGGAATGCATGCCACCCCATTTGCAAATCATGTCCTTCTATTGTTAAAACTCTGGTATTTTTCAGTTCCATCCATTCTTTTAGCCAAATTAGGCTCGATGCTTGGTAATATATTTCCCACTCTGGTAACGCCAGTCCCCCTTTATCTTTCATACCTTGCAAGAGTTTTAATTTAATCCTGGGTTTTTTTCCTTTGCCATATAAATTTAGTGACCAATTTATTTAATTCTTGAAAAAATGTTTTCCCTAGTTTTATTGGAATAACTTGGAACAGAAATAATATTTTTGGCAATATATTCATTTTGACTGTAGCGGTCCTCCCTAAAAATGAAATTTGTAGATTTGTCCAATTTTCTAATTCTTTTTTAATCTGGTGTAATATTTTATCATAATTATCCTCCTTAATCAAGGAACACTTCACTGTAAGCCAGATCCCTAAATATTTTATTTTCTTAGTTACACTTATCTTTGTTTTATCTTCCAGTTCACTTTCCTGTGCCCTTGTAAGATTTTTGGTTATTAATTTGGATTTATTCTTATTGATCTTAAGTCTGGTTACCTCACCGAATTCTTCTATTTTTTTAATCAATTTAAGGCCGGTTTCTAATGGATCTTCCAAAATGAATACCAAATCATCAGCGAAGGCTTGGACCTTATATTCTTCCTTCTTAATTTTTAAATCCTTTATTTCTTGGTCCTCTCTGATTTTTGTCAGAAGTATTTCTAATGATAAAATAAACAGAAGAGGGGGATAGTGGACATCCTTGTCTTACTCCTTTGGTTATATCATTTTTTTTATGTCATTTCATCATTTATAATTACCCTAGCTGTTTGTTTAGTATATATTTTCTCAACCATCTTTCCAAATTTTGTCCCAAAATCCGTATAGTGCAATTGTGTTATAATAAACTTCCAATTCAGATTATCAAATGCCTTCTGGGCATCAAGAAAAACCAGTGTAGCATGTCTTTCAGGATGGACTTCATAAAATTCTAAAGCAGTGATGGCGAACCTTTTAGAGACTGAGTGCCCAAACTGCAATCCAAAACCCACTTATGCATCGTCAAGTGCCAGGTGGGTGTGGTCCATTGGGTAGGCGTGGCCCATTGGGTGGGCATGGCTATGATAGTAACGGCAGACTGGGTGGGACTAAAAAGTTCAACCAATAAATTCCAGCTTTGCAAGATTTTTTTTCCCCACAAAAAGTTGAAATTGACTGATTGAACCTTTTTTTTTTTTTTGCACATGGTGGTGGAGACCTAAAACAAAAAGGTTTTGTAAAACCCAGCTGAAGGCCTAGGACTGGGGCGATAGCGCGCGTGCCCACAGAGAGGGCTCTGAGTGCCGCCTCTGGCACCCATGCCATAGGTTCGCCACCACTGTTCTAAAGTGTTCATTATTATCCTAATATTATTTTTTATCTGTCATCCTGGTAGAAATCCATTTTGATCTGGGTAGATGTAGTTATTCAAAAATGTTTTAATCCTTTCTGCTATTATTGTTGCAAATGTCTTGTAATCTGTATTCAGTAAAGAAATCAGCCTATAATTTTGAATTTGTTGCAGGTCTGAGTCTTCCTTAGGGATGAGGGTGATGAGTGCTTCAGTCCAAGTTGTCAGTATCTTCGCCTCCTCCAGCACATCTTTATAAATCTCCAACATTATCCATTGTAGTGACTCTTGTGTATTTTTATAAAACTCAACTGGAATTCCTGGGCCTGGTGATTTATTGTTTTTTTGTTTTTTCAATTCTGTTTCTAGTTCTATTGCGGTTATTGGTCTATTCAACATTTCCTTGTGTTCTTCAGTGATTTTGCTCATTTTTGCTGCCTTTATATATTGTTTGACTTTATCATCTGCTATATCTTCCTGGTGGTATAGCTTTGAAAAGAAATGTTGTATTGTATTTTTTTCTTCCCGTCTATATTGTACTGTTCCACTTTCATCTTGTAGTTGATGTATTGTTCTTTTGCCTTTTTCTTTTTTTAATTTATAGGCCAACTATCGACCAGTTTTATTCACATTTTCAAAGTAATTTTGTTTCGCCATCCTAATTTTCTGTGCCATTTATTTTTGTGTTGTCAGGTTAATCTTATGTTTTTTAATAGTTCATTTTTCTTTTATCTTTTTATTTTGTGGATCCTTCTGTAGGTCACCTTCTATTTTTTAAGTTCTTCTTGTAATTTTCCTTGTTGAAGTCTCCTATCTTTATTTTTCTTAAAATTGTATGCAATTGTCAATCCCCGAATGTAAGCTTT